GTCCCACTGCTCATGTTGTTTAAGTTACATCGGCCAGCACTTCTGATTCTGAAAGCTCTGGGAAATTTAGTTGACGTGGCAGCAGTTTGAAATCTGTCTGGACAAAAAATAAATAAAAATATCTACTCCATTTTCCAAATTCACTATTGGAAGCAGTTCAGGCAAAGAGAAAGAGAAATGCTCTGAAATTTAGAGACTCGATTGCATGGGTGTACCACCCACGTCTGCATGTGAATTTTGGTGCAAGGAATATTAACAAGGTCAAAGAAGCAAAATGAGGCACTCTGCTAATTAGTCTAATATGCAATTAATCTACAGAGGTCCCTTGGAACAAAAAGTGGCTTAATAGATGATACAAGTCTCAGTATCATTTTTGGTGGGGGGGGGCTTGGCTGAAGTCCATTGCAACTTGGTCCATGAGAAAAAATAAAGGGAGCAGGATGAGTGAAATATAGAACTCCATAATGTAATAACAGGCCATACCATAATAAATGTGTGTGTGTGTGTGTGTGTGTGTGTGTGTGTGTGTGTGTGTGTGTGTGTGTGTGTGTGTGTGTGTGTGTTTACTTGTAATAGACCCATAACATAATAACTGACCAATACCGTAATAAAAGCCTTGAATCTAAAACGTAATAACATTTGGTCAGGAACGGTAAAAAACAAAAAACAAAAACCATTTCAAATGTAATAACTGAGCCCATAACGTAATAATGCACAAATATCGCTTGATTTAACTTCTGATGTTTCAATATCCTCTCAGTGCAAAAAGGCATCTGTCTGTCTGTCTGTCTGTCTGTCTGTCTCTCTCTCTCTCTCTCTCTCTCTCTCTCTCTCTCTCTCTCTCTCTCGGTCTCCCTCGCTCATGTATTTGTCTGTTTACATTGATGGTTAGCATGAGCTCTAGTTCTGTCAGCTGCTCCTTAGCCTTTCAGGTTATGTCAAAATGTAGTGGGAACACAATTGGAAATTCTGTCCATCAATGTTACCAAGGGACCAAGGGTAGTCTTGGACATAATATCTCTAAGCATTAAGTAAAACAAGCAAATAGTACAAATAGAGACAAGGAAACAAGAGAGCATGCATTTGCATAGTTATATCCAAAAATCAAAATAATAATAAAGTGATGGTAGTATATTAATAAATTATGGGCTTGGTTATGACATTCATAAAGATGTTTTTGTGTTCTAGGTTCAGGACTTTTATCACATTTAAAAAAGGACAAATTAATTATGGTATGGGTCGCTATTACGTTACGGGCTGTTATGACGTTATGGGCTTCGACAAAGCAGAAGGCAGACAGATGGCAGGGACTTGTCAGTTCATTAATGCATCATGTTCTTTTGGGCCTCCTATCTCATGCGTGTGTATGTGAGTGTGTGCGTGCGTGTTCATACATGATGTTTATCACACGTCTTATGTCTCAAATGTCCTCTGTCTCCGTTTCATCCATCCTACACGGTTTCCTGTGGAGAGGATGGTGGTGAAAAGTGCCCAACTTCATCCTGTCAGTGGCCATGCCATGTAAATGGTCCAGTTCCATTTTGGCAGAATGACCCCCAGCCCCCTTCACTTCCCCTCGGGCTGTTCCATATGTTCCAAGCAGGGAAGCGCCATATCTAGGGTAGATGGAGCAAGCTGCTGGTAACAAAAAAAAAAAGGGGGGAAAAAAGTAGTTTGACTATGTCAAGTTCAGATGTGGCCTGTTTCATGCTCTCAGCATAAACATTGTTAGCACATTTATTTACTAAGATCCCAATAGCGAGCCCTAAATTGCATGTTCACTCACTCTAACCCTTTGGGCGCACTGTTGACAAAAATTATAAAAGTTGTACTGACTGCCGTATTCAAAAGATGATTTTGTGCTTTTAGTAGCGCTGGACGTTGAAGTGATGAAATTGGAAGTGTTTATGGAAGACAAACAAACATACAATATTCCTAAATTACATTGAAATCTATCGCCCCGATCATTTTAGTGAATGGGTCATCCTTTCGTGCTTCTGATTTTAAAACTTAAAACAGCACACCTGGAAAACCGCTTTGGGAGAAACCAGCACTAAAAAAAGTGTCACGAGTCACTGAAATGACCCAGATGCAATGAAATGCAGAGTCGATGACAGTTTTGTCATCTGTGACTTGTTCCAAATTAGCCTCCTATCACACAATCGTCGTACAAAAGCTAATGCATGCTAATCAACAAATAACTTTAATGCTGAATGTTTTCTTTTTTCTGTATCAGCCCTGCAATTGTATATTCTGCCTCTTGGCTCCAGCTCACTTATGACTCTAATGAGGATAAGCACTGTAGAATGTTATGGAATGTATTAACTGGACAAGATGGTCATTAATTTTTGTGGGTGTAACGTGCAGTGGTTTAGAATTGCACTTAATCACACTGCGAGATGTTCCTCATATTTGGGGCCAGTTGTTCAAAAAAATGTCATTTGGATAAAATGATCCAGATTTTTTGCTATCAGGTAATCCGTTTTACTTTTGTGCTATTTTTTTTTTCAAAGCAACATTGGATTGATTAATTCTGATCCAGATCAACCGTTTCAACATCTCATAATGTGGCCTACCAGCAATGACAAGAACAGGTAGAAGAGCTGGCATGGGGTCACTTTAAGTGAGATGCGCTTCCCGCGGATCCGCGGAAATCCGCCGTTTTATTTCTTAAATTGATCATTTTTGTGAATCGTCTAAATCCGTTGAGAAAATTTTAGGGGCGGTCAGGTACCTTATCGTCGAGTTTTCACGAGCTCTCCCGAACAGTCTCTCCGTTTTCCGTTTGTAAACAGCCCTGCGATTGGACGTGTATGAAAGCTTCAACTAATCAGATCACTGAAGGCATTATTTGTTGCGGAA